CAGTTTTCTTAAGAGCTTGTTAAATGACCTTATGAGTGCTCTGGACCAGAGGCAGACTGCTCTGTTGGCATTGCTAGATTAATCTGCTTCTTTTGACACTGAACTTTGACCTTGGCTTAGATAGGTACCTTACAAATATACTTTTGCTTGCTGTATTTTAAATGTACAAAGATTATTTTATTACAGATCGAATTCCTGACTTTGTCCATGATTTTACAGGCGTCCACTCCTGCAGTTCAGATTAATCTACCATGAAGAGACTCTGTGGTGATAATTAGCCTTTTATTAGGAAAATATAGCATTAAATAGGGGTGTGATGATTTCATGCCACAAGATCTTGTGATATTAAAACGTGCCAGTATTTAATGTCTATGTGAAAAGCTGTCTTGCGATATCAGTACATAACAGAACCAGAGAGGCAGCCAGCATGACAGGCTATGAGGGTGATATTAGCATAGCAGATGCCTCTGCCACTTTTTATGTTCAATTTGTGGAAATGAGTTCAGCTAGAAAGTCACAAACAGCTTCAGTTAGAAGTTACAAGCTCATGCATAGTTCGTGCACAGTTATAAGCTCTGAAGAGACTCGTGAAATCATACAGTCGAGTTTGTGGCACAACCTTTTACAGTGCTTGCATAATGTCTTTTACTGCATATGATAATTCATACTCAGAAAGTAGAACTGAAGTGACATTCCAAGATGCACCTGAATTGTTTTGCATTTTGTGACTTTCAGTTGGGGAAAAAAGACCATTTTTTGTCATTGAACATTTCTTAAAAATAGTGTTAAAATATTGTCTTGTCTTGTTCTTGTGAGCCCAGTATCATGTAACGACTCTTCTCATGAGCTGAGTGTATCGTCATATCCTTACTGTTAAGGCTACAGTATGTAACCTTTTTCAAATATGTTTATTGTAGAAATCTTCTCCAAAACATGTCTTAATGTGGAGAGGTGCTGTCAAAGCCTCCTGTGACTGACACTCATTGCACAGCAATGCAGAGATATTAGCTTCTAAATGGTCTTGAGCGTGATTGACCCCTCTAATCACACAAGACTCTTTTGTTGTCCGTCATTTTGACAGGGTCATAAAATTTTCATCAGAATTTATTATTACCCATCAATTTAAATTTTTTTAATGATAAGACATCCTATTTAATAGCATTTAATTTTCACTCTATTTAATTTTATTTTTAATAATTAATATGCAGAACAAGTTAACTTTTCATGTCAACATGATTTTTTTTTTCCTGCAGAGGCCACTTAAAACAAGATGGACAACCTTCAGATTTTTCAGCCTTTAAAAAAAAATAAAAAAAATAAAGTCAATAATCTGAATGGTGATCTGGATCAGCACCAATATCCAATGCATTTTTCTTTGGCCCATACCCTGTCTCTTCAAAAAATGTAATTCAAATCTATTAATTGGCTTCTTCTTTTTTCTCCTGGTATCTTGCATGCTGGCACACTGTCACAATTTCTTTGAGTAGAACTGAGCTGTCATCAGTGTTATTAGTGACACCAGTGCTTAGACAGCTATGCCAGTGTGTTTTTAATATTTATTTCATTTAAAAAAGGAGACATGGTCAAAAACTGAAATTAGATTTTTATTAGTAGACATTTCCCCCGTTCACTAATCCACCAGGCCGCCCACAGTGTGGATATGACCCCTTACAGACACCCGCCTCAAAATAAAACATCTGGTACAATGTTCTCACCAAAAACAGTTTAAATACTATAAAAATAAATCAATTGCACAAAATAATATGCCATTTTGCTTGTGATTACCCATGTGCAACACCTGTACACATACATAACATTGACAACATGAGGGTCCAAGAGGAGGGTAAAATTCAATAGAACACATTTGTGTATATATAGAAACAACATTAAACCAAGATCTAGTTTAATGACAGAGCATTAGTTTAGTAACTGGTGGAGTCTGAATCAACACTGATAACTATGACCATTCCACATGCTTACTAGCCACCTGGACCATTTTACCAGCTGTAGTTACTTTAGAGTTAAAAACAAATTTTCAGCCGACTGTTGTTCCTGTTTAGGTAAATCTGCTACTCTAGCATTTGACCAGTGTTTATCACCTTTCAGTGTCAGTGAAAATTGAGTAGCATTTGTGTAATAGATTATTAATGATTTCTGTTTTACTTGTTTAAGCAGTCAAAAGAATTTAACAGGAAAAAAAAGATTCAACACAGCCCATCTCCCAGTATACTGCACTGGCTAGTAAATCTGCCAGATGTAATGGCCACAGTCAAATGTAAAAGTGTTAAGCTGGTGAGTGATGTTCACTTTAAGCCTTGATTACAGACTCTGCTCTACTACATGTAAAATGGTTCCAATTCTTGCTAAAGTGAAAAAGAGCTGTCTAGATTGGCTAAGGAAGCACAGTAAGAGAACAGAATCTTTGACACAGCTGCAAACAATCATCATAAATCACCATCACAAATAATATACATTAATTAAAAATGAAATGGAAAAAGGAAAGTAGACAAATTCAGGCACTAAGCATGACATAGAAATGAAGAGATGTGAGACAAGGCTGGTTGTAGTGCAAAGTAGTTCAGTAAGTTGCTATCGCCTTCAAATATCTGGAATAATTTAAGAACTAGGAAGGCAATGTTATTTGAGCTGAGCAGCACAGAGGCCGAGGATGCGTGGGTGTGTTCGGAAATGTAAAGCTATTGTACAATGACAGATCAGATGTACTGCTCGCATTGAAGTGCTGAAGTTGCACGGAGTCGTACTGTGAAAGACGTTAAAGCTTCCAACTGCACTGAAGAAAATGTTACAGTTGAACATGAAACGAAGGGTTTGAAGATAGAAACTTTTTTTTTTTGTTTAGTTAACTGATGCAGAACTGAAATTCATCTCAATTATTTAAATGTGTGCAACCTAGGACATATTTCATACATTAAACATAAGCTTAAACAATATTTGCTGCTGAAATGTCCCATTTTCACCAGCGCAAACAGGTGTGCAGGTAGTGTCCTGAATGTGTGCATTACGGCAAGAGTTGTAACCTGTTCATAAAGCGATACTAATGCAAGATGCAGAATTTTGTTTAAGTCACATTAAAACACAATGGCTTCCATCTGCTTTAACAAAAGCAACATAACACATTTATTCACGTGTGGATCTATACTTATATCTGAAGCTAAAGAGCCTGTAGTACCAACCAAAATGTTCCACAGAGAGAAATGCTTGCAGTCTTTTTTTGGGAAAATCTGTTAATATAATTTCAACATATATAAAAACCATCATTATTTTTGATAGGGATTAAAGCCAGGTCAGTCTAATCCACTCCTATTATGTTACTGCAGGTGTTTCCTTGGGGCCTGATGTCCGACTAACAGGCTACAATTTACATCTTCTATCTGCATTTGGATTTCCTCCCCAAATTTAAATGGACGTTTGAGTCCCGTGACAATGAAACACAAAATACTGTCAGCTAAATATTGTGCATTTGAAATATTGAAAATGCTGAAAGATGCACAAGATGTCTCACTGAGTTACAGGGTTCTGTCCAGCTGGGTTTCACGCCGTCAGCCTGAATGAAAGATGCACAATGCACAGGATGTCTCACTGAGTTACAGGGTTCTGTCCAGCTGGGTTTCACGCCGTCAGCCTGAGAGCCGCCCACAGTCCTTTCCACGACTACTGCCCTTTCCAGTGCTATCATCTATTAGAGCAGTTACAACTTTGTCATTTTAGTAAATTTTGACATGCTGATCCATTTCACTACAATCAGTCTCAGAAGAGACGATACATGAACACAGAGGATGGATTATGAGACAGTGGGCCCCTAGGCACAGACGTGTATATACAGTAGAAACAAGACTGAAAGAGATGCAAAGGGCTGCACGCATCTTGGCCATGTCGTTTGTAGTTTGTGTCCCTTGGTAGTCATTTTGCTACCCTGCGTGGTTGCTTTGCATCTCCTTGTAGTCATTTTCTCTCTCTTTGTGTTTCAGTGACCTATTGCAGGTGAAGCCCAGGCGCCCTCTGACCTGTGCCCAGTAGACCTGCTCAGTAATCCATCCAGGCTCCAACATCCAATCCAGCCGGTGGACAGCAGAGTATGTTGCATTATATTACACTGACATGAATGATATTTAATGTTTTTAATCATGCTATGATAGTAAGATAAATAATCATAATAATGTAAATCTTATGTGTTCACATAGTCCAATTCCTGTCATTCACACAGCAAATCCACTCTCTCTTGTAGTTAATATGGCTTTAAGTACACGTTTTAACTCATTCACATGATAAATGTGCATGTACTGTTACTTAAATTTACTATTATTTTTAACTTCCTCATTGTTATTCAAGTTTAACACATAATTTTAAATATTTGTTTCAAAAGTCAAAACTGGACTGACTTCTGTACTGGCAGACAACAGAAATGTGCCTAAATATTTCTTTGAAGATCAGGGATTGTAAATAGTCAAGAAGCTGAGTAAACTATAAGATAACAGCCAGACACATTCACCTCAGGGTTTCTTAAGCTCTGGATCTGAACTTCAGCTGCTCTACTTCTCCTGTTAGAACCCCACACAGAGCATGTCCATGTTAGGAGCATGACGGATTGTTAAACTAAAATTACAAATACACTCACTGGCCACTTGATTAGGTACACCTGTATAACTGTATGCAATTCAGTGTAATACTTCTGCTTTAACATCTGTTTTTATAGCTCAAAATGTTTCAGTTTTTGGTGAAATTATCATAAATGTATACATTCAATTATAATTATTACTGAGCTCATAGTTAAAGCTGATGTACTGGGCTACATTATATTTAGAGGTGTCTCTATTTTTGTCCTCCCCAACTAGATAATGAGAAGGTCAGAATATTAGGAAGACCTCTAAATATAATGTAGTCCAGTAAAACACCACCTTTAACTGTGACCTCATTAATAAACATACAATTGAATTTATACATTTGACAATTTCACCAAAAACAAACACTTTGAGCTTCAAAAAACACAGATGTTAAGCTGGAAGGTTTGCACAGAATTGTACAGGTGTACCTAACAAAGTGGCCGGTGAGTGTAGAGGCCATAAGCCAAGTGTGGTTTCTTTTCTGAATGCTGGACATCCCACTTTACTGTCAAAGAAACAAGCATTTAATGTTGGATGTCTTGATTTATTTTGTAGGTTAATGGGACAGTAACAGTGGTCACTAAATGTTTTTGGGTTATGACATATGAACAACGAGCTCACATTTACTAGATTTGTCTTGACCAATTAGTCAACAGTATTTCTTTAGAATAGTTTTTCTGTGAAGAGTTCTATGTGATCTATATTTATTTTAAAGTGTTTGTCTTTAAAAGCTTTCAAAAATGAAGAAGCATCCTCAAAATCCATCTTCAGTCAAAGGAGCATTCACATCCCTGATCTCCCCAGTGACTGGGTGTCCGTCCTTGTTCATGAATCCATCACTAGGATTATTCTGTCTTACCTCATGTTGATTTTACTCAATAATATGTGACCATGTTAACTCTCACCTTCCACAAGCTTGGCTGGCAGTTCCTCGGATGACTGAGATTTGATTATAAAGATGTTGAACATTCAGACTGTACCTGTGAGTTTGTGGGGTTTTAAGTGATTCAGAGAAACCAACTCTGCCGCTGGTCAAGAATAAAATGGTTATTGTGCTCTAAACCATGCCAGGGCAGAGAGATGAGAAGTGTCACTAGGTGACAGTCACACAAGACGATGAGAATAACACCTGAAGACTTAGAGAACATCAAGCTGGCTGCAGTTTGACAGACATTCGCCTTCTGTACAAGTTTTTCCAATCTGTGATGGGTGTGTCGGTAAAGAGGGATGATGACAATGAAGGCAGTGAAATGAAGATGGGTGTAAAGGTAGATATGCAGATTCTTAATATGTCTCTCCAACTTGTGATCACTGCAAATTACAGAGGAGGAGGAGGAGGATGAGGATGATGATGATGATGGCTAGCCAGCTATCAGTAGATATCGGGTAGGTCTTGATAATTCCTACTGAAGTAGCCACCAGTGTAGAGCCAGTCCTGCAAGCCAGTGTATGGGTTGGTGCCGAACTGGAACCACCTGAAAAACAAACAGATTAAATGTCATTATTTTGTTTTTTTTAAACCATTCATTTTATTTATTTTTATTTTCATTGTCAGCTGGGGTTTCAGTGTTTCCCCTATAATAGTACAGACATAAATAAATATAATACTGTCCAATATACACTCATTTGGAAATAATTATTTGTGTTTAGGGGTGTCAGGTGCACATGAATGTGTGACCTGAGAATACCGCGTATTTTTACTTTATTTTGTTATGTAATACTGTGCTGAAAGTTGGTAAAGAAGTGCCAGAAGGCCTCCAGAAGTGCAGCAGAAAATATTGGTGTTATTTGCCTCTCACTCATTGTCAGCTGGGGTTTCAGTGTTTCCCCTATAATAGTACAGACATAAATAAATATAATACTGTCCAATATACACTCATTTGGAAATAATTATTTGTGTTTAGGGGTGTCAGGTGCACATCCGAGGACTACATGAATGTGTGACCTGAGAATACCGCGGTTAATGGATTTCGTACATATACCGAGGATTGTGGAAACAAGGCGTTACCTTCACTGATTCTTGACAGTGGCTTGTTAAAGTTACAGTAAGTTTGTGATATTTAATATTCTCATGGAACCGCAGTGTCAGTGTTGCCTATTGTCTGCACTTTCAATACGTTACACTAATGTTCTGATGTGTCAGTGTTGTTATAATAGTTTAACATATAATTTAATACCAAGTGATCATCACAGAGTGAATGTCGGTTAATGGATTTCGTACATATACCGAGGATTGTGGAAACAAGGCGTTACCTTCACTGATTCTTGACAGTGGCTTGTTAAAGTTACAGTAAGTTTGTGATATTTAATATTCTCATGGAACCGCAGTGTCAGTGTTGCCTATTGTCTGCACTTTCAATACGTTACACTAATGTTCTGATGTGTCAGTGTTGTTATAATAGTTTAACATATAATTTAATACCAAGTGATCATCACAGAGTGATGTTGTTATAATGAAGTTGGAGTAAATGTGAGATTTTCCATAAAGCAACTAACATTAGTAAAACAAGTTATTTGGCTGCTATTAATGCTAACGTGAGCATGGCACCATGTAAGAAGAGGAAACCTTGAACATTTTGAGAAATGTGCTGATTTGCTGCTTTGCTGAGAATTCGGTAAAAAGAATGGAGGTGGTAGTTTGGTCATTCTGTAACATGATGCACCTACTATTTTACAGCTAATTTGCTGTGAAACAACGCTATGGTTATGTATGAATCACCTGTATGTTAAAGTGAATTAAATTAAATGCTCGAGAACACTGAATACTGTGTTTCTTACCTAGTCACCCACTCCTCTTCATTCTTAGCTCTGTCCTTTCTGGCAGCTCTCTGTTTCTCCTCCAGTCGCTCCTTCTCCTGGCTGGCCTTCTCTGCACGAGGACAAAAAGCCATATCTCTGTTACCTTGTACCATTTAGCTTCTGAATCAAGTAAAAAAGACTTGTACTACGATACATTTTCATTTCAGGTCAATCAGGGTGTAAACACTTAGATCAGCAGAAGGTGGCAGCAGTGATATTCTGTTTGTCCCACTGGGAGTCATTTTAATACATCATGCATGCGTATTAATTTATCTGCAGCAGAAATGTAGTCTTATTGAAAAGTCTTAACTGAATAAACTTAATACCAGGTGTAACTTCAGATTATACTACTGGCAAAAAAGTTACTGTGTTTTCTGGCAAGCAGAGATGATTTTAAAGACTTTAAAATCAAATTACCCATATCGCCATTCTCCATGGCTCTGATGTCAGGCCTGAAGCGACAGTCAGTTGGGGCCAAGATGGCTTCCATGCCAGGCTCCAGCTCATTGAGAGCCATCGCAAAGTTGGTGAAGTTGTACATCTGGAGAAAGAAAGGATTTAGGGACGTTGAGTTTTTGTTTGCAAATATAAACATGTGTCCTATTAATGCAGTCACATGCATCAAATCTGTTTAATCACTGACTTAAATCAACTGATAACAGCTTATTCTTTTTTACTGGACTGCATGTTTGTGGTGTTTTTTTGTATTTGAAAAGCTTGGACTTCAGTTTACCATAATTAAGCATTTATAAGTTGATGTGCTGGAAACAGACAAATTTCTTATTTGTAATGGCACCGCATGACTTGTGTGTAGTTTGCACCTGTGTGTGTTAAAGTGTGGATACCCAAACTGAGCCTAACCCAAGGGTTTGGAGAAAGATTTAGGAATTATGTCCAGGTCGTTTTAAGAAATAAGGAAAAAACACTACAGGCTCAGGTTGGGTTTGGACATTATATACTATAAACTTGTTGGCCGCACACTCGGGCACAAGTCAGGTTTAGACAGAAATATGCGGCTTGGTGTGTGCGTGGACGCGTTACTGTACCACAGAAGAGTGTGCCGGTCTGGACTCTATCCTCCACAACAGAGTGCTTCCAGGTACGACAGACACCGTCTCCTGGACTTCAGGCATATCGTCTGCATCATCGTTTTCCGCTCCCTCCAGCTCCTCCTGGAAAATATATAGTTCACTTTTACTGCTGTTTTGCCCCACACACATTATAACTACATTAGAAACATCTTCACTGTATCTATATATAGTTATGATCTGTCCTGCTTCAGTCCAAGCCTTTCAAACCCCACTAGGAAAGCTACACACTTCCCAGCTATTATCCTCGACTACAAATAACCAAGCAGACTAAAGCTGAAAAGCTAAAAGCCTGAGCACTGACCTACACACGCCTGGTGTTTTATGTGTATAAGACCACACAGAGCACTGTGGACACCATGAGAAATTTAAGAGGAAAAAGAAAACAATTGGAACTATCACCAAAATCATAAAATAGAAAAAGCCCAACAATGTCAGAATCTGGCAACATATGTGTACTAAAAAATTCCAGTCTAACAATAAGCAGGGTAACCAGAAAGGACAGGTGTCAAATCGTAGATTTTCTAACTTCTCACATTTTTTTGCTTCTTGTTGTCTCCTTTCTTCTCTGACTTCTTGTGGGCCTCGTAGGCCTGAGGGTCGACACTCCACATGCACTCAGTCCACTTCCCATAGATGACACAGAGCTTCTTTTTACTGGAAAGAAAGAAAGGAAGGGGAACAAGATGAGGAAAGGAGAGGTGAATAGCAACAGAATACAAAAATTGGAGATGAAAAAGGAAGCAAGGTAGAAAAAAAATATAGAAAACCACAAGAAGCAAATGATGGAAAAGAGAATAAATGTAAATGGAGAAGCAAAAAGGAGAGAAAGGGAGGAGGAAGAGATGTACAGAGGAAATAAGGAAGAAGAGGAACAGTTACAGACGAAAATGGAGAAGAAAGTTTAAGCAGATGTAAAATGAGCAGAAAAAGGAAAAACCAGATTAGTACAACAGCTTCCTAAAAGTTAAAATTCTAGAAAATAATAGAACTTTCATACTGTCGTTGATGAAGCAATAAACCAACCTCTTGTCCTGGATGTATCCCTCCACTTTGTGCAGCTCTTTGCCAAATATCCCACAGGGCTTGAAATTCAACACACACTTGTCTCCGGTGCTGCAGGAGAAAAGAGCAGAGAAGAAGAAGCTGTTAATGTCCCTCCACTAGGTGAGGTTTTGTAAAAACTGAAATTAAATAGTTCTGATGCCATCTTACTGATGTTTCATTGTTTTAATAATGACTACAATAAAACCACTGAATTTAATGTAACATGCAGCACTTTGCTTTATCAAGTTTATATAAAAATGTTCAAACAATGACATTAAAAACTGAGTCTTAAGTCTCAAACTGAAGTGTATAGTCTTCAGGAGAAAGAGTACTGACGACGTGAAATTCACACGGAACATGACAGATGTAAGGTGATTTCAAGCTTTGCAGACTTTCCCTGAATAAAGGTTTAAAACTGATCCATGGGGCTGTTAGTCTGAAAAGATAAACAGAGTAAACAACCCACCGTCTACAGTAACCAAGTAAACACCGACAGAGTAAATGTAGGTGCTGAACAGCTCTGTGAGCAACAGACATCTCAGACTTAGGTTTACAGTGCTTTATATGAACTTGACCATGGTTCAGTGTCCTTTGAAAGGCTGGATGGTCATGGGTGAAGACTGGTGAGAGAGAGAGTGTGTGTGTGTGTGTGTGTGTGAGGCTCAGTCATGTTGCCGGTCCTGTTGACCACCCATATGTTCAATCGACAACTTCACAGACTTGTATTGGACCAAAAAAAAAAGAAAATCATGTGTCACTGTTTATGCTATTTAGCAATAATGATGATTAAAAATGACAATTCAAGCTTTGCGACTGTGTGTTATAAATGTACTACATTTTGTGTTTCAACTGCTGCTCAGACAAAGCAACCAACTTACCTTGGGCCTCAGGAAATGATAAGGGGTACATTTTACTATTGTCTGTCATTTTATACATCAAGTATTAATCTCATAATCTTAGCTCATGCTAATACTGTATGTGTCTAATTACAAATTGTTGTGTCTGGGTCCCTGTAGATTTACCATGTCTGTTATACTAAAAACAAACTACAGTATATTTATGCCAAGAAATAAGTTGTAAAATGCAAAAATGCACTCTGCTCCTACTGCAGCTAATCAGTGTTAAAACATTCTATCTACTCATTTTAAGAACAACAAATGACATTAAAGGCACCAATTCCCATGCATGAATCATTGGCATACCTGTGGTTCAGTATTTCCACTGTGCCATACTGCTCTATCCATAGTTTGCCCAGAATGATGTTGTGTATACAGCAGTAAGGGTTACTCCATGTGTACGCCTCGTTGTGCCTGGAGGGGAAGGGGAAAAAAACAGAAATAATATGAAGGAGTGTTGGTAGACGAGGGAGAACAGGAATGGAAAAGGAAAGAAAAAAATAGCAAAAAAGAAGATGGATGAAGTGAAGCTGGGGAGCTGATCTTGGATCACAGAATCACGCCAGCCTCCCTTTCAGACTCACTTGAGTAGCTCTAGTGTGATGGTCCCTCTAGGCTCAGCCTCAATGCTCTTGCCCCAGAACTTGAGTTTGGGGTAGATGGAGCCGTGGAAGATGAAATCCCCAGCCAGACTTTCTGCATGGAAGGCACTAACAGGGGGATGATGGGACACCTGCTCTGATATCAGCCGGAAACCCTGCTCCTCTCTGGAGACGCGAGGGGTGGAGGGGAGAGGATAAATGCACAGTTTAAACTGGAGACATTAAAAAAAAGAGGTGTGCGTCATGTGTGTTGTGTGTACCTGGTGAGTTCATAGGTCTCTCCCAGCAGAGGGTTGAAGGGTTTTCCAGTTCTGTCCCACTGAGGTGCCACTGCTGACACAGCAAAAGCAGCTACTGCCTGAAGCAAAACACAACAAACTAAGTTAGTATATATGTGTGTGTGCATGAGAGAGACATGACAGTGTGTACATGTATGCATTTCCATGCATGTTTGCACATAAATTTTATAGAGCAGGGCCTTATCAGTAGTCTTGTGTGTCAGCTGGGTGCATGCCAACTTAAATGACCCTGACCTTTGGTTATTTTCCATTTTTATTATGCAAGTCATTTGTTGACTAATTCTACCAGGGTCAAAATTGCTAATTATTTATGTTTACAGTGGGTACGGAAAGTATTCAGACCCACCTGACAGAACTGGAGAGGATCTGCAAGGAGGAATGGCAGAGGATCCCCAAATGCAGGTGTGAAAAACTTGTTGCATCATTCCCAAAAAGACTCATGACTGTATTAGCTCAAAAGGGGGCTTCTACTAAATACTGAGCAAAGGGTCTGAATACTTATGACCATGTGATATTTCAGTTTTTCTTTTTTAATAAATCTGCAAAAATGTCAAACATTCTGTGTTTTTCTGTCAATATGGGGTGCTGTGTGTACATTAATGAGGAAAAAAATGAACTTAAATGATTTTAGCATATGGCTGTAATATAACAAAGAGGGAAAAATTTAAGGGGGTCTGAATACTTTCCATACCCACTGTATACCAAGTACTGGTGGTTGTTGAATCTGCCTCAGCTGACACTTTTAGGATTTATTTAAATAAATCACACAATCACTGCCAATCACACAGCCAAAAACGACATTTTACAAATGAAAATGTCGATTATTTCTTTCAAGTTCATACAGAGGTGATCGGATGTATGTGATGACAGAGAGTTCAACTGTAAAAGTACATGCAGATGACGCGTCTGTGTGTCGCACTCTAACCTGCATGCGCTCTATGGAGTCAGGCAGCGAGCAGGCTCTGTTGATGAGGTAAGTGTGTTCCATGTATTCTGTGATTCTCTGCAGGAAGCTCAGAGGCTCATTGAAGCCGATGGGCATCGTGATCTTGGACAGTTCCTATGAAAAGTGCACGACAACAAGTCTATTTGAGATTTGACCTCAGCTATCACAATGTTTAAAATAATTTGCTTTTCTTAAATGCCTTATGTCTTGGTCCCATGGAACCAATGCAAAACTAACTGCATTAATTGAAAGAAAAAAAAATTGTGACATATCAATGGGTTGATGTTCATCATTCAAATATAAGTTTATATCAATATATATATATATATAACAAAAAGGCCTTGTATTTTATATACTTGACATAATTCCAATTTGTCACTTTTTATATGGCCTCTAAAATGATTATGTAGTTACTGAAAATCTCTTTTTGACTGAAAAAGGTAATATCATCCACTAAGTGCTAAGATCAGACTAAGCTCTGTGTGAGCTAAAATAGTTTGTCACTTACGAAGACATCTTAACTGCTCACTTAAGAACTGTCCCTCTGCATAGTGTATTTGTCACTGTGAAATGAGAACAAAGTAAAGCAGCACTGGATTTGCTGTGGGTCCTCACCAGTCCGATGCATTTCTTCAGGATACTCCAAACACTGACAGTGTTTTTGGGAAACATGGGCACAGGTAATGACGTCCTGAAATGAAAGAAAATTTAAATGAGTGAGCAGGAATTGAAAGCAGGCTTCCCCAGTATCGGACATTTAGAATGTATTTTCTTTGAAAACCATCGTCTCTTTCTTCTGAAGGGACATCAATATTTCATGGTCATCAAGTCAGTCACACCACATTTAAATAAAAGGAATAAAGATCCTGTTATTTATCATGAGTTCTGCTGAATTTCACTTCCAGCAGAAGATTATACATACTGTAACAAGACTGCTTCTTCCTAAGTTATAAACTGGAAATGCAGTTATGGCATTTAAATTGGCTCAACTTTTCAGCTTTGAAGTTTTCAGTTTATCCACACTGAAATAGCCACAGTTCAGTTACATGGCAGGAATTGTTAAACAGATATTAAGGCCTCCATCCTCAAGATCTGAGTGCAGAGGTGCACTAAACAGGCAGATCAACAGGTGAGGAATAAAGTTACAACAAAATGTGGGAACAAAGTTCCTGTACCTCAAGCCATCCTAAATCATTGCCAAATTTTGGCACAAAATTTTGTCCACATTCTGTGTGCAGTTAAAAATGTGGCTATCACGAATTGCTGTATCAGCTTTTTATTTAAAACATGATATATATTTTAGACAATGGGAACACAAAATAAAAATGCATGTACATCACAGATGTGTTATTTGTAGTTCTGTATTTTAAAGTCAAACCTAAGGCAAGAACTCCTCCTGGCTCAGGGAAAAGCAGTGTCACCTGTGAAGTAAGTATGTGAAGCGGTGACCCTGCCCAGCACACTGTACTGGTTTCAGTAGGATATTTAAGATGGTACAAATTAAAGCTGCAGATGGTATGCGGTGCAAGAATGTAGCAGTACCTGTGTTTCTTGATGCCGTTCTCCTGCGGCACTGATCCATTGTTTTTCTGACTGCTGCTGTGCATCAGTGCATCTTTGAAACTGGCCTCCGACACCCCTTCAAACGACTCGTCTGAGTCCAGGCCTGTGGGACAGGAATTATGACATGAGGCAATAAATTTCAAAAGAGAAGGTAATTTTTAAAACTAGTCTCATGAAAAAACAGAGGCACAGAGGGTTCTGGTATTTTGCTGGCAGGTGATTTTGTCTTGTGGGTCTATAATCATTTGAAACTGTTTTGGTTGCAACTTTAGATGGCCACAGACAGTGCCAGTAATTTGCGTGCCGTTTTGCATCACGGACTTCTGGCATCAGTTTGACTGGCAAATTTTATTGATCTGAAACCGTTTACACTGACTAACCTCTTTGATGACACATCAGTGCATGTCTTTCAAAATGTTTTTTTTTTTTTTTTTTACATGTATATCCACTATTCCAAACTTTTAGCCAGACTAAATAATAGTAAAACGCATATAATTTGTTATGATGCAGCAATATTGAACAGTGGCATCTAATTAGATTTGCAATAGCTGCAATGAAATGGAAATCAAACTAAATACACTGTAAACCTGATATTCTAAATTCAAAGCAATATTATTGTCATGAAAAGATTGACACACTGAAAAGGAGTTAGGGGACAAAGCAGAAAAACAAAAAACTTGAAAACAAATTAGAATAAGACTATGTGTTCATGTTGCAAGAACAGATTTCCTCACTGCAAAACCACACCGTCACAGTATGAACTGGCAGGTTTTAAAACAGTGTGGTATTTGCATATTTACAGTGCCTTGCGAAAGTATTCGGCCCCCTTGAACTTTGCGACCTTTTGCCACATTTCAGGCTTCAAACATAAAGATATAAAACTGTAATTTTTTGTGAAGAATCAACAACAAGTGGGACACAATCATGAAGTGGAACGAAATTTATTGGATATTTCAAACTTTTTTAACAAATAAAAAACTGAATAATTGGGCGTGCAAAATTATTCAGCCCCTTTACTTTCAGTGCAGCAAACTCTCTCCAGAAGTTCAGTGAGGATCTCTGAATGATCCAATGTTGACCTAAATGACTAATGATGATAAATAGAATCCACCTGTGTGTAATCAAGTCTCCGTATAAATGCACCTGCACTGTGATAGTCTCAGAGGTCTGTTTAAAGCGCAGAGAGCATCATGAAGAACAAGGAACACACCAGGCAGGTCCGAGATACTGTTGTGGAGAAGTTTAAAGCCGGATTTGGATACAAAAAGATTTCCCAAGCTTTAAACATCCCAAGGAGCACTGTGCAAGTGATAATATTGAAATGGAAGGAGTATCAGACCACTGCAAATCTACCAAGACCTGGCCGTCCCTCTAAACTTTCAGCTCATACAAGGAGAAGACTGATCAGAGATGCAGCCAAGAGGCCCATGATCACTCTGGATGAACTGCAGAGATCTACAGCTGAGGTGGGAGACTCTGTCCATAGGACAACAATCAGTCGTATACTGCACAAATCTGGCCTTTATGGAAGAGTGGCAAGAAGAAAGCCATTTCTTAAAGATATCCATAAAAAGTGTCGTTTAAAGTTTGCCACAAGCCACCTGGGAGACGCACCAAACATGTGGAAGAAGGTGCTCTGGTCAGATGAAACCAAAATCGAACTTTTTGGCAACAATGCAAAACGTTATGTTTGGCGTAAAAGCAACACAGCTCATCACCCTGAACACACCATCCCCATTGTCAAACATGGTGGTGGCAGCATCATGTTTTGGGCCTGCTTTTCTTCAGCAGGGACAGGGAAGATGGTTAAAATTGATGGGAAGATGGATGGAGCCAAATACAGGACCATTCTGGAAGGAAACCTGATGGAGTCTGCAAAAGACCTGAGACTGGGATGGAGATTTGTCTTCCAACAAGACAATGATCCAAAACATAAAGCAAAATCTACAATGGAATGGTTCACAAATAAACATATCCAGGTGTTAGAATGGCCAAGTCAAAGTCCAGACCTGAATCCAATCGAGAATCTGTGGAAAGAACTGACAACTGCTGTTCACAAACGCTCTCCATCCAACCTCACTGAGCTCGAGCTGTTTTGCAAGGAGGCATGGGCAAAAATTTCAGTCTCTCGATGTGCAAAACTGATAGAGACATACCCCAAGTGACTTACAGCTGTAATCGCAGCAAAAGGTGGCGCTACAACGTATTAACTTAAGGGGGTTGAATAATTTTGCACGCCCAATTTTTCAGTTTTTTTATTTGTTAAAAAAGTTTGAAATATCCAATAAATTTCGTTCCACTTCATGATTGTGTCCCACTTGTTGTTGATTCTTCACAAAAAATTACAGTTTTATATCTTTATGTTTGAAGCCTGAAATGTGGCAAAAGGTCGCAAAGTTCAAGGGGGCCGAATACTTTCGCAAGGCACTGTATTTCTGTTGAGCTGTGTTATCTCAATTTCAGATATAGCAAAAAGCTACATTAATGGGCCTGATAGTGAAAGTAAACTGGCACATCACTGAGTAGGACTCAACAATAACTAAGCATGTGGTGGTGATGACACACCCCTGGGCGGCAGCCTGAACATGACAGGTGACCTGCAGGGTCGAGCTGTGGTGAAATCAAGGTGGAGCTTTAACAGCTTCAAATAGGCCAAATGGTTTGTTATCGTTCAGTAAACATGCTCATTCAGCCGCCGGCGTGACGTCAAAGGCACCAGGTGTGTATCAGGTAGTGTATGTTCAACATTTACGTAAAACAAAGGCCTCTCATGTGAACATCCAAAATGGAAAGAAGAACAGTCGAACTGGACAAGAAAATCATCATGTTTATAAAACAGGGCCGTAAAAGTGGAAGCACAAATATTGGTGACTGAAAAACATTAATGCGCATACTCCAAAACAAAACATATTAAGTAAAGTTTTAAGATTCACCAGTAGCAACTACTGGCTAAGAAAACTCACCATCCCATACCAGCACATAGGGCGTCACTGGGCAGGGGTTCTGCTGATCAAGCCCGAATATAATAAGATCTGATTTTGGTCCTACTTAAGTGTGTCGTGTATAAAATACACTGTAATTTGACATCCAATAAATAACCTAGGAACAGGCCTATGCACAGTGTGTACTAAGATCACAATTAGTATTTATCAGAATGAATGAAGCTCCTTCAGGTTGTTTAAGCATGAGAAGGATGCAATGGTTTCAAATATAGTTCATCCCTGCACAGTCTGAAAAGTCAGACCATACTAAATATAAAAAAAATAAATAATTTTTTTACACTATGTCTATTTCTTTGTTTCTGCAAATACAGTACAAAACAATACAGGCAACATACACAACCACTACTCTGTCAGAGTCCAGGGTGTTGTTGACATTACTGTTCATGAACACAAGACAGCCAACCACTGAATTATTGATATAATCATCAGACTAAGGCAGGTTAGGTTCCATTGGATGCTATTATGCTTCTATAGTATGATGGAGACAGAGCAGGCCATCTAATTAGGACAGATAGCCTCAACATTCATAAAAAGAGAAAAAGGTCCTGACATGGGTTGTGAAATTACAAAACTCAGCTGAGAGTCCTACGAACAAAAACAACAAAATAAATACCATGCAATTTTCAAAAAACTGTGTTCAAATCCACAGGGAGCACATTTCTGCCAACATGTGAACCATTTGGTCCGCAACCGCATTGATGATTTTAGAGTTGCAACAATGAGTCTATTAATCAGTCAGAAAAATAACTGACAACTATTTTTGTTATTAAAGTTAAAATGCTAAACGTCTCCTAGTTCCAGCTTGTCAGAAGACGTGCTGCTTCTGTGATGTGATCCCTTATATTTTAGGTTGTCTGGTTGAACAAAACAGGCAGTTTCATGACATCGCCTTGGGCTATAAGAATCCATGACAGACATTTTTTTATTGTCTTTGGTTATTATCTAAAACTATGATAATCAGCAGATTAAAATAATATCTCTAACCGACTCTGTGAAGATCACCTTACCATTTAAGTAACATACAAGAATACAAAACTGAGTTTTGCAATTCCAAAAATACAAAATGCTGCAACTATTTTCCACCTGATTAGACCACCTGCAAATGGTTGTCACATCATGACATACACCGATCAGCATTAAATCCACCTGTTGGTCATAATGTCATGGTGGCCAGGGGTCATTATCATCTGCAGCTCCATAACCCTATATGCAGAAAGCTGTGTGTCAACCATGACCGGTATACATATTTCCCATGCGGCCCCCTGTCTACTATAACACTAAAAACACCGGGTGGATTTACTGTTGTTGGCTGATTGGTGTACATTTAAGAAAATAGATTAATTCAGATTGTGATTCAAACACTCACGCCCTCTACTCCAGAGCACCCACCTGTGACGGCATCGTAGAACTCATCCTCATTGCTCATCTTCTAGAGTCAAAGCTGGCCGTTTGTTTAGGACAGATGTTCGACTTCTAGCACATGTTCCTTTGGATGGCAGCCCTTCACAGTTCGGCTGGAGGGAGACGTGTCAATCAAAGTCCCTCTGGTCACCACGGAAACTGCACAATGTTCGCTCAATATCCAGTGAGTGTCCCAAACAATCTGATTATTTTGGACAGTTTGACCAGCAGAAGAGCCACCACAGGAGAGTTCAGTTCAAAGATCAGCTCTTCTTTGGCTTTGTTGGGTGTAGCAAATTAATAACCTGTAGAAACACAAAAGAAACAAAATTTAAGTCTTGAGTTGGACTTTACTCTGGATTAAAGAAAGGTAAATGAACAGTCAAGTATCCACCAGTGTTTACAAGAGTCAAAGTCAGGACTGACAATCACACAGTTTAATCACTTGTTAATCTCCAATTTAGGCAACAGCTTAGAACTTTCTAAAGAAAACATCAAGCTGAGAAGACTGTGCATGCCCTCATAATGGACGCCTGGACTACTGCAGCTGAAAAATCTTCTCACTCTGGCTGGGCAACAGGCTTGTCTATCATGGCCCACAAGGTCCAGTAGTTACTGTATATACTTGGAGCACCACTTCCATGGGCGTTCTGAGTGTTTGTTACCTTCTGTTTGGTACACTGTAGCTTCAAAGTTTTGAACTTTTTTTCTAAAGTTCCTTTATAAGAGCAATTAGCAAAATTAACATTTTAACTCTTGGGGCAACAACAGCGGGTTCAAAATCAAGTGGCAGCCTCCGAGGCTGAGAAATTTAGCCAGTGTGGAAGTGCCAAAACCTGCAGTTCCTCAAACGGCCACTTGAGGCCGGCTCCAAAAGGCAGCCAATCCCCACAGACTCCTATGTTAAACTGCCCAACTTTACAACAAAATGTTTACAGCCTGATACAAAAAACTGTTTTGGTCTCTATAGCTAATTTCCCCTTCCATGACAGTTGTACGGGGGTTGAAAAATATATATATTTTTTTCCCTTAAACTCACCCATTTGAGACTAAAACCTATGCATTAATGGAATGGCCGGTTTGAGTGACAGGCAGGATGGTTCTGCCACAGGTGGCCAGCTGTTTCCTGTCTAGCAAGCCCTACTCGTGCTCCGCCTCTTTGCCAGTTTTTGGATTAGCCAAAAATTCTGATTTACAGTATTAAACTATGTGGTCCTCAAAAATATATGTCATTAGTGCAATACAAAAATGGGGCTTTCTTCATCCTGTTTAATATGAAACATTAAAGGTAGTACTCAGTGAAGGTGGAACCAACCAAAAGAGCAGTGTGTAATTTCAGTTTAATCTCTCAATACATTATACTTGTTGCAGTGACACTAAAAGGTTAATGACTATGTCAGTTACAGTTGAAACACAAAGAGCTCTTGGATGGAAACGCTTTGCTCTGATGGCAGCAAATCACATTATTCTACTTTATATAAAGGCAATGTCTCTTTTCTATCACTTACTCATTGTTTATCTCAGTATCAACATCAGCACATTCAACACAGTGACAGAATATGATCCATGATGACGCATAATTTATCAATTTGTCACACCACAACTCACATGCCTGACCTTAGTAACACTACAAGGAATCCAAATTTTCATTAACAGCCCAATTGGCAAATGCAACAAACTGTGGCTTACACACCGAATCCTTCATTTGTGGCAGGGATTTCCTCTCCAATACCAAATCCACTTTAATTTTTCAACTTTATCTTAAGTCACACATGGGCTCAAAAAACTAGCAATAGTGCTTGAACTGGTGACTGAATAGTCAATTAATTATTAACTAAATGCTGCACCTTCCAATGAGCCTGTCGAAAGTTGGCAGTGAATGCTAGATAAGATTTTTAGAAGTTTGAACTTATTTTTTTTCAGATTTTTTTTCCAGTATAAATGATTAGGAAAGATCCTTAACACTGATGTGTTGAGTAGTTTAGCTTTTTTAATTTACAAACGTTCAAATAATATTCTTAATATTACTTGAAGTGCATTTCTTTGCTACTCCAGAAAGAACCAGCATCTTCAGACTCCATATCCTTTTGTATACCCTTTTATTGTCCTCTGACAAATTCCAACACTAGTGAAAACCAATCACCAGATGTTCAAAGTGTACGTTACAGAGACTCAGCTAGCAGGTTAACCTTAACTGTAGTATTGGACATTATCTACAGTCATGTAGCTATGAAAAAAAGAATTCATGAAACAAGTGTTCATTAGATAATATCACTGAATCTTCTGCTCTTCTAAAATTAATGAAAGGCAGCTGATTTATGAGCAATACAGAAAGGTAGCTTTGGGTAATACAGCAAATAATAGAATATTTTTAGGTTTTCAGAGTTACAAGATTTCTTACATACCTGCAGTGTAATTAAATCGCAACAGAGACAACTCATTCCATACAGTTACTCATTTTGGACAGTGAAATGCTAAATCTGGGATAAAGCAACTCTGCCTTTACCTTCCTCCTACTCTGTCTTTCTCCGGTCATGGGAAGGGTTTTTACCTTTGCCAGATATTGTAACGCCTTCAGCACACAAATGAACTTTGTCCTCGGCATCCACGATCAATAAGTTAAACACAATGGATGACACTTGGGTATTCAACTGTTCTAACAGCTAATTTAATATCTTAACCTTGAACTTTTTGCTTGCGGTTAGTTTGTTCCAATGAAACTAACATCTATGTTTTTCAATATGTTACAAGCACGTATACTTAAACATCAGTCTGACTCTGAATAAAGAGATCCTTCCTTCCTGTAACCAAATCATGATACAGATCAGCACCAAAATCCAAGAACTTGTCCATGGCCGATACCCTACCTCTCCAAAAAAATTTCATCAAAATCAATTTATTACTTTGAGTTATACTGTTAACAATCAAATCAACAAACACTGGCAAGAAGATAACCCTCAACCTAGGCAGGACACAGAGGCAGACTTGCCCAGAACGGCGCTTGCCACAATACAGTGCGCTGGAGTTGAACGACAATATGTAGACCAATTAACACAAAATAATTGGAAAATCAGCCCATGAATGCTGCAGTCTGTGTGCTACTGTCATGAGGCGGCTCATGTTGTGGAGTGGGAATGGTATGATCCACTTTATGTGATATTGTATCAAATGCTTCTTTGGGCCATTAACAGCCGAAACCTGAACTATATCCACATACCTCAGTCCAAGGTCAAAATAAAACCATGACATATGATGATAGGCTATGTTTCTGTGAATACAGAAAACAAGGCTGCCTGGAGTATCTCTTTTGCATGGCCTTTTTACAGGTTCACCCTTTTGCCACACTTTACAACCCTATTGCTGCTGAACTGTTTGAACCCATTCATACTAAGCATAATGACACTTTACTGAACCTTCCTTGTCATTTTTTAGGATCTGAAATAGGCAGCATGGACATCTGACCAGCCACACTTCCCAGTGAAACTCTCACTAAGGGGGTATAAAGAGGGGAAAGGTGGAGCAACATAGATAGCGAGGGATATGATTACTGCATTACTGGTATGAACCAAGCCTGGAGTCACTAGACAATTCTGTCCTAAGCAACAGGAAGCATCATATTGTCCTTGGAGTAAACACATCACCGATTCAAACTCTAGGCTTATGTCTTAGATTGTTCTCAGTTTACAACCTGGAAAAAGCAGAGCCATTGTTAAAGCTGGTGGGCAGGAGTGCACAGAAGCTATTCAGATCATAAGAAAATTCTTTTTGAATATGTGTCGACACTTGAGAAAAAGTATGACAACTACTGGTTAAACTACAACCCTCAGGCTGTACTTGGCCTTTCTAAGCTGTTAAAACAACTCTGCTCCTTAAAATGTTTGAGACACAGTTGAGGAGGCTCACTCGACAAAAAGGCCTCAATATTTAGTTCTGCAAGGTTAAAAAAAGAGCACAATATCAGGAAATTAATCCCAGCTAAAATGTTAATATCATACTGATAAATGCTGTAGATTTGTCAGGTTAGAGTTAAATTAGTCTTGGTTTATGGTTTGCAGAACAAATGGCTCTCTGCATCTCTCAACACCTACAAATGAGGGTGAAATTAAGTTCTTCTACATCAATGACAAGAAATATTTCTGTATTTTATTTGTACAGGCTAAAAACTACTTTGTACTGAATAGCTCTTTCATCTTCTGTCAATCAATCATATGCTTTTAAAGCAAATTACTTTCCCATTCCATAACTGTGCAGATACACTAAGTAAATTCACACATGTGCACACACAGTGACAAGGACAGAAAGCTCTCTGATTGGCTGAAACAGGCTCTCACATCATATCGCTCTCTCCGCACTGAAATCTGTGAGACGTTACAGACATGGCACCATACACACACACCACAAGCCCACTCCTCCATGCTTGGGCAATAGCCTATCACAGACAACCCCAATCTGAAACTCTCTTACTCATTGGTTGCACACAAATACAGAGGAATACAAATATCTCCATCAGGCAGGTTAGGAGTAGAGAAAAATAGAGAAAAGGTGAACAAAGCATCCCCTTGGTGATATCTTTTTCCTTGGGGTTTCCTGTGTAGCATTTATTCAACACTAAATTTCTGACTACAAACTGACCTTGTTAAGAGAGCCAACACTACATTGCAAAAAGATTATTCAATTGTTTTCAAATAAGCGCTGCGACACCTTTTTTGATAAGATTTTGTACTGCATTTGTTTATACCAGAATAGAAGCACCACTAGGCCTTAAAACATTTCACATTATGTTAGGGTTCAAAATCATTATTACAGCCTCCAATCAACCAAATTCTATTGACCCCAAAGGCTTCACCAACTCATTTTATCTCAAAGCAAACAGGTTATACCAAACTAAACCATGTAGCAACGTCATTACCAATAATCTAGTGATTTGATAGTCAAAACTCAACCTACCGATGTCACCATGCATGCATCCAGTGTTCAGCTACTAGCCTGGTAACATCTCACTGTGATGCCTTCCGAGGGATGACAAAAACATCCAAAGCCGCGGGGATGCAGAGGGAGAGGACCAGAGACAGGTGAGGAGAGAGACAGGCACAAAGAAATTAAGAGACAAGAGCTGTCGCTATGTGAGACGGAGCCTAGTACTGTGCAATGATACAGTATGCACACGTAAACACCTCTTTGTTTCTCTTTACCACACCTACTTCTGTAGGTGGCACACCTCTGCAAACTGTAGAACACATACCACAAGCCAGTCGCATACGTACTGAAGCATTCAACATGGACGCTGAGAGCATAACCTGTGAAA